CCCCCCCGCTCGCTCCGCTACACACAGACAGTTAGAATCCTGAGATCCCAACATTACAAACACTTCTGTCACTAATAACTTAGCAGGAAACTATTTTAAGTCTTCCTCCTCAGGTCTCATAAACTGTATATGTGCCGGAGTCAGGCTCCAGTGACTGCCACTCTCTTAGGATACGCCATTTCTTCGACACGGGTAAAAGGGATGGCAGGTTCGCTTTCGAGGAAAATGGAAAAAGGAACTCTCCTTCACACGGGCTTCAGTATAAATAGATTTAGGATTAACTCTAATCCCCAGACTTCTAACATGCAAATCAATGCAACTTCAGGCTCATAAGGTAGTGAAAGTATTTCCCTGCCAGCCAGATGAAAGCTGCAAGTTCGCGCGATAGTGGCGCAGATACGGAGGCTTTAATCTGCTGATTAATTACTTGTTCAAATGGCGCTTATTACATGTGATGTAGAAGAGGAGAGGTCAGCAGCCACCAGCTACGATGTAGAGAAAGACACTGGCAACGCTGCCACCCTTACTGCAGACTGATCTGCCATTGTGTGAATGAAACAGGCAGCTCTTCCACCGATAATGTCAGTAATAGGAGACCCGCCTGTCCACCTCTAGACCATGCAATGGCAGTGAGCTCTGTGGATTTTTATCCAATGCAGCACATAAGGCACTAAGCAATTGGTCGTGATCGTTTGCAAATTGACCAATGTGCTGCTGAACCATGGCTGATTCAGTAATTGATCAGAATGTATTCGATAACGAAAGGCCAGAAATGGTGGTCTTTGTCCTTGAGACAGGTTCACTTTAATAAAAGATTGAGGCCCAGTGTGCGCCTAACCGCTGGCAAGCGCAGCATGTAATGCACTCTGCATTAAGCCGCTCAAAGGGAATGGGTTGGTAATGCACCACAAGGCTGGGAAATCGAACATGCACCTTTTTTGTCAGCACACTTCAATGCAATTCAGTTAGATCCACCCGCAAGGTGACTTGGGGTGCTATTCAGAATGAATGCAATGCCAGAATGAATGGGTCTACATCACACCATAGCAAGCAACGAGTAGCGCTGTGCGTTATGGTAACGGGCATGGGAGCACACTCATTCTACAACACCATACTGAACGAGGCATAAACATGGAATAACAAATAAAATTTGACTTTAGAAGGAAGCCAACAAGCAAGAGCTAAAAAGCAAGTATCCCTGTTGCTTACTAAAAAGACACACCAAAAAAGGTTCCTGTAAATGAAAACAGATAATACTCACATGTGCCACCATATGCGACACCGATCTTCGCTCTGTTGAAGAGCTACAGCCACAAAAGAATGTTCTGCATCTAACAATTGGTTCCCCCAAGGGACCAAGTGTTGTGGGTTCTTCTGCTGGTGCCTACGTCAGTACTGTGTACTGTAGTGACGTAGGGCTGTCAGATGGAACAGCCACGCTAGGAGGATGCAGGTTACCTAATCAAGGAAGAGTTGTATGCTAAAGATACTGCAGGAGGTTGCAGCTCTGCAAAAGTCTTGTCGGGTTCATTCTTTAGAAAGGCAACGGAGTTGATTTAATATTTTAAAAAAATCCAAAAGATAGGTGATGCTTATTTGAAAAGGTCATTAGTGACCTAGCTCCCAGGATTTCTGTCCAACTGATGGTCAAGAAAGGTCCTTTTAGACTATATCTGTTACTTGGAGCTAGAATTTGAGACAATCATTTTCCCACCCAATCCGGTCTGATACAAAATAAGGATGAAAGAGCCGAATACAGCTGTACAATGACAGCACCAGTGTGTATATTGGTCATAGTGCAACGTTTCATTTGTTAGCAGTGCAATCTAAAAGTTCAGTGCAATTGCTCAGAACAGACTGCCAAAACGTGACCTGTATGTGTACATAAATCAGTCTCAAATTGGACACCCGAAGTTCAAGCTTCAGTTGGGTCTTGCAGTCTAATCGTAGCACACTTGGCTAGCTTTAGACAGGTTTCTGCAAGCATGACAACCCACAGTAATGGCTACAGATGGTCTATAATTTTGCCACTGCACTTGGTGTATGCTACATGCTGCAGCTCCAGCAAACAACTTGTAAATCCAATGGGTGAAGCCATCTTAATATCTAAACTTAAAAGCTGTCTATGCATGTTACAATCAGACTGCACAATCTCAATGTGCAAGGGTCTATGTGGATATAGTAGTATATTGATAGTGGCCAAACAGATTCTAATGTGCTCGACAGCTCAACAAGTTGGCCGACCAAATCTTGAATGGGCAAAGATCATATGCGATATGTGCAGCTTTTGGCCTGCATGGCTGACAACAACAATGGCTATACTATCACTGCACATTAATTCCACCATTAGAGGACTATTTTCTCCCTCTGTTTCAGTATAAGAACAGACTGAAGGCAGGTATTATTTTCACATATTCTGTGAGTAAGAAAAGGAATAGACAATTTAACATTGACCACGAACAAAGGAATCACTTGATACTTATCCTACGATGCTGAACCCTAGAAGGAAAGATTCCCTCATACATGAATTCCTTATGTCATTCATAAAACGATAGATAGATTGTAAGCTCTCATGAGCAGGGCCCACCTAACCTTCCCGTACTGAATTGTATTGTAACTGTACTTTCTCCCTTTATTTTGTAAAGTGTTAACAATCTGTTGGCGCTATCTAAATTCGATATGATAATAATGGACCGATATGATCATATTAGCAATTATTTTAAATACTTCAGCTGATCTTCTGTGTTTGTTGGTGTGATTTGGTTGTATAAAAAAACCTTCACATGTTATATGTTTTTCTGCCCCCTTTAAAGTGACTTTAAAACCATAAAATAAAAAGTTCCCTATGATAGAAGGCTGTTTTATATTCGCCTGTCCTGCCACCCCTCCCTGCTATCTCTGTTTGAGAGCTACAGCTGCCCAAAGATCTTTCTATCTGGCACTCCTGTGAGGATTGTATTTCTTTGCCCCCTGCTGCATGCTGTAGTTCAGTGAGCCAGCCCCTACTCCATGTCGCTACTGTATCCTATACTGACATAGTGCCTGTGGATTAAACCAAGCAAGCAGTGCGGGGACCAGGCATCTGACATGCCCAGATATGTGTTAGATGGGAGGATTCTATGGGTGGTAGTAGCTCTTCAAGAGACAGAAGATTTCAGGAATGAGTATAAACAGTCTTCCATTGCAAGGAACTTTTTGATTTCTTTTTTTCAGTCGCTCAAAACGTATTTTGTACTTGAGAACAAAGTTTACTGTATGTGGATCTTTAGTGCAGTTAGTGCTAGCTAACTAGACGACCGCCATTCCCAGTAATTACCACTAACAACCTTCTGGGTCTTGTAGTTCCCAAAAGGACATGGGTTGCCCTTCCTGCTTTAGAACATGTCGCAAGATGATGTCACAGACAAGAAAGATCACTTACCTGCAACGTTCTCCTGCTTCGGGCAAATTCCTTTCGTAGGTGTGAGAAGACGGTCATCCTCATCGGGTGTGACTTGGATACCGATTTCCACTGGCTCTGCCACTTTCCTGAGCTCGGAGCGAGATGAGTGCGGTGGACTACTTTTATCCAGGTTCTTTTCATAGCAGCCTCCGCTCGGGACTCCGCACTGCTTCTTCTTGTGCTCTATAAAAACCAAAATGTCTCCCAGCGGGAAATTCATTTGACACTGTCCGCATGTTAACAAGTCGGGGTCGTTGCCGGACAGGGTGAGCGTCCCCGCCTCCAGGATGGGTAGGCCGTCGTCCTCATCTGGGATTACCGCTTCGACATGATGCTGTCCGGCTGCAATGAAGCATACGGAAAATATAAGAAAGACTTACTGACAAGCATGGCAATATTACCTATCACACATGAAGAATACCTCCACCTTTCTAACACAATGTATATCACTGTAAGACAATGCAGTGAAACTCCACAAGAAGCCTTCACTACCCATTGTGTTCCATTGTACCTGCACAAGCTCTTGAAGTATCATTGGGCCCTAAGGCAAATGTTAATATTTGGCCACTGTTGCCGCTATGGTCAGTGACTGTTTAGAGTAGTATAAACTTGACAAAATAATGTTTTACACAATTGCGGCAGTCCATTAAATTCAACCAGAGCAGAAAACAGCTTCTGAACAGCGGGCAGCTGCACAAGCATTAAGGGAAAAAAAGATACTTAAAGGATATCTAAACCCAAGAACCAACATTTCATTTATTGAAACCTACAATTCCTTACAGGTGGTGGCTGCATTGGTTTTACTTTTTTCTAGACTTTTTTTTTTAAGAGAATGCCTGTTGATCTTGCCAGAAATGCCATGTCCTTGTCACAAGGCATCCCTTGGACAGACAGCAAACACAATGTTATCTTCCTTCCCAAAACTACCAATCCTAATCCAGCCACCCCCGCATGTAATGCAGCATGGGTAGCATCCAAGGCTCCCTCCTTAGATACAGTGGCGGAGTGAGCGAAGTCACCCAGGGACAGCATCTGCAAAATTAACAGGTGGAAATAAAGAAAAAAAATAATGCATCTGCCTCACCTAAAGACTGGAAAGCTGCAATATATGACATTTTTGTTTTAGGGTTTAGCTATGCTACAGTATTATTTACAAAGATGACTACAGGTGCTGTACAATTTTAGCGGTACAATAAAGTAAAAACAAAATAAAAACCCTAATGCATAATTTAAAAAAAGAAAAAAAAATCTAGCATATTACAAAGGCCAAATGTAGCAACTAAAAGGAACCAAAATGTATTCCATCTAATCTGTGTCTTTACTGCAAAAATAAATAAATACAAACAAATGTGCCTACTTCGAGTTAAGAGTGCATTATTTTTGCAGCGTTAAAAATTCTTGACAGGTTAAAAATAAAATGCTCTGACCATGTTCAACCTCGAGTTTGCAGATAATTGAACCTGTCCACATACAAATCCATTTCAACAGGCAACCATTTTTTTCCCCCCATAAAGCTCGCCTGAGGACATCTGCGTTAAAGCTATCGATGGCATAAACAAGCAGACGAAAGGAATAGATGTCTCTTAATAGCTGCTGGTTCTGTAACCCACCTCCCCCTCAAAACACCATAGGAGATACAGCATGCCCTTGGCAATACATAACACTTGAGATTCTACCTGTGCGCTCTCACAAGGATTATTTACTTGTAATGTATCTCCCCGCCACCACCACCGTAAGTTCTCCATGCTTGAGAACCACGTAGAAACAAATATAAATAACTACAATAAAAAAGGGGGGGGGGGGGAAACGATTTTATCGCTTCAGTCATCGATATATCAAATGCAAAAAAAAAAGCATCTCCTTTGGACAAAAAAAAATTTATCAGGTGTGCGATTACTCAGGGTTGTAATTAACCGCAAGCAAAAAACTAAGAACTGTGGAAAAAAAATTTTTTTTTGTTGATCTGACAACCTGACGATTATGTGAAATATCTTCATTATGTGAAACTACACAAATATTTTTTAAAAATACGATTTTTTTTTTCCTATGTGTGTCAATTTAATTATTTATTTTGCCTTTATTGTTAGCCAAATGCTAACAATATTATACAGAACTGGGGCCTAATGAAAATACTGAAAAATAAGTAAAAAAATAAAATAATAAGAATAAGAATTTAGTTTCCAAACAGGTTGATTTACAACCTTCAATCTGCAATCTCTTTCCAAAACTGTCCAAAAAGTACGCAAATCTTTTTTTGTACCTAATGGTCGGACTTTTACTTGGCCAACACCAGGCCACAGCAAGATGGGCAACAGAGTAGAGTTAACGTATAGGTGTGGACGTTCATAAGATGGCCGACAGAAGGAAGCTATCACGGAGGACTGGGCACGCACACACATGGTAAACTGTAACGATAACGAACACGAATACCATTCATCCAGAGCACATATTCCTCGCTTCGAGGTGCTAGTCACAAACACATTCTTGGATAAGGGACTTTGTAGGCCCGTAATTCGCAGCTCACCGAAGTCAAAATGTCACGTTTTTATTGAGCGTTTACTAATTATTTTCCCTTCTGGCTCTATTTCGTCTGATGTTAACTAAATTCCTTCAATTACAGTTTTATTAAAGAACAAGATGCGGGTTCAGCTTCTGTCCCTGCCTAGTATCCCTGTCAGTGAACTCCCCAAGCAGGACATGTCCACACCTCATAAATACACTTAACTCCTGCTCAACAATAACAGCCAATTTATCTGAGGCCGTTAACCATTCAGGGTGCAATGTGGGCAACTTCAACCGAAAACTTTCTCAACAAAATAATTATCAATATGTCATTCACATAAGCCGCAGAAGGCAGAGCTGAAGGGACATCTTTGACTGGTTGGTTGAAGAGGTTAAAACTACAAGCCTTCAAGGCAAGCGGATCTCGTTGTGAAGAATTGGGAAACACATTTGATAGGCCCAGGTGGTCTTGAAAGATTTCAATTTCATTCCCTTCAGATATGCCAAATGCATAGACCGATTGATAAATCTCCCACCTCAACTCATCAACGCAACCTTCTTCTGCTACAATATTGTACCAGACTTGCATACTGTTCTATGCTTGCATATAGAAATGTATGTAATAGGGAACCAATGATAATGGGCACAGAAAGTAACCTATAGCAAATAATCAGATTCCTTTTTACTGTGCTCATGTTTCTTAAAAATGAATCCTAACTGGCTTCCTCATAGACTTTTGCACTTAATACAGCATCATGACTGCGCCGCCGTATTAGAATAGCCCATTGCTGTGCCTACTTTTCCTTCGTTGCTGGCTCACGGGAAAATCACTGAAGCAATGCTTCTATATTTTATCCCTGTATATATTTCCGTTCATACAATTCCGGAATGTAAAGACGCTTCATAAATCAGTGACTCCACCCTCTAGCTTTCCAAGTCACAACTCAATATTACGCTTATTGGTCACAGGTCGGTACGAAGGAGTTAAACACAGAAGAAAATGCCAATCAACTAAAATCAATTGTTTTAAATTAATTGGCTTTAAAACCTTCCCCCAAAAAATACCCAAAAAACAAAATAAATATCACTCATACAGATTTATAGGACGATAGAACTGACAGCTGATCTAAGGCCAAGGGGTCCACTTAGTGTTTTCCATTTAGTTTAGTCATAACCTCTGAATATCTGCTGCTATCTTACCAGTCATCTAAATTGGATTATATTTAGGATCTTACTGCAAGTCTATTTCAGCACGCCCGTTGCAACGAGTGCCAAGTTCTGTGCAAAACATCGTTTGACTCAATCAATTACGAAGCTACGGGGCCAGACTATCTATGCAAAGGCGCATTTTCTTCTGCAGGTAGCTGTGCAAGTCATCAGCCATCTGCAGAACTGTAACAGATAATTCTTTAATATCTGATCAGTGTTCAGACCCTTTTTCATTCTCTGCTTATGAAAACGCCTGCCAGACCGCCCCCCTCTACCCAACAAACATGCATGCATTCTATTAATAGGCTCTCAAACATCCTTCATGGATACACTCGGTTTGATACCCCTATTGTATCAAGAGATTCTGTTACATAAAGTGTAAAATGCTCATGAAAAAGTTGAATGGCAGCTTAATGAGAGCTAATTTTATTTGTAAAATAACTTTGTCATGCTGCTTTATCATCTGGACATTATCTAAGTACTGCTAAAAATGTAAAAATTTTGCCCTTTTCATTAACCTCAAACCTCTACAATATATTCTGATAGTAGAAGATGCTAGAAAATTATAGAACATCACAAAGCTTAGACATTTTGGAACTCTGGAAGACTTTCAAACAGCTATATCCAACAAATAAAATGCTGCAATTGCTATATTTAAGGATATTCTAAAATCAACAATACTAAACAGTTATATCCAGACCGACCATGAAGCAGGCAGTGTTAAATAAAGTCAATCTATTTCTTTTTTTTTCCAGATAAATATTATATACTTGACCATTTCAGTATCTAAATGGTTTGTCACAGATTACAGAGAGCAATATATGGCATGCCACTTAGCCAATTAAGAGGATAAAGTAAAACCTAATAAATCTTAAGTATTAAGTTGTGCAGATTTTTTTTTTCTTGTGCATATTGCTGTGCACAATTATGCTGATTCTCTATCATCATTTGTAAATCTCTAATAAACTACACAAAATGTACTTCACTAGAAAAGCAAGGTATACAAGCAATTTGAATGTGCCAGTACTACATGCAAATTAGAATGCATAAAAAAGAAAATTGACGCAAGTTACGGACACATCAACATTAAAAAAAAAACTCGAGAACCGAAAAGAAGCAAAATATTGTTTTTTATACAGAACTCTGTAGCCTGATGTACGGCACCAATCTTGTGGCTGAATAAATCGATAGTGTTTTAGCATTTAAACTGCCAAAATTAGAGCAAAGTGATCAATTGAAATATGAAGTTCAGGTCATCACTGTTTTGAAACAAACTTGAGAGTATAATGATTTCATATATTTGTTTTATCTGTTTTTGTTTAGTTTGGGAACAAAATCTTACAGTATTAATTTGTTCTTTAGCATCATCGTTTGAAAAAATAATATAAATGATAAACAAATCTTTTTTTGCATTTTGGTAGCGAGTTGGCCTTGTCCAAAAGGGCCAATGAGGATCCAAAGTGTTGATGGACTAAAACCCATTACATAAAATATCTTAAACGGTAAGTGCCAAAAAGGGCAGAAATAACCTAAAACTTCTACATCGTGATGCAGTTTGTTTTTTTTTTTTTCAAGATATGGCGAAACAAAATCACACTAAAATTTGCTTTCAGAATCGGCTGATCAGAAAG